GTATATATATATATATATATACACACCTTGCTACGTGTACTGCGTTAGGCTAACCGAGACTTGTCATGTGCACTTATATATTGTTGCTCTTTTGTTAGTTTTGACTGCTTTTATTGTCCTCATTTGTAAGTCGCTTTGGATAAAAGCATCTGCTAAATGACTAAATGTAAATGTTCCACCTGAACCACATTTTACAACTGCAACCTGAACTGTGACTGCTTGATTGATCCATTGCGACTAGTACTGCCATATAAATACAAACAGATCCGTTAACCTATTATCTGTATTATCCCACGGGGAGAAAATCCCCACGTTCACTGATCTGGAACCACTTTAGAAATCTAAATTAGTTAACGGAAACATTTGATGATAGATGATGGGAGATCTGTGGTTTAAAGAATTGTTTGAAAGTGTGCGTGTTTGTGTGTTAGCCATATGAGAGAAGTTTAGGGTTAAACACCGGCTGGCAAGACTTGGCGACTGGTCCAACACACACACACATTCACAGAGGACTTTTATCAGCTGCTGGGAACACAGTTACTATTGTTTGAGGCCAAGTGTTCAGTCAGGCATGAGTCCCAGAGCAAATATTCTCAGCATCTCTCAGCTGATGTCCATTCATTCACAAATGTAATGCTATAAATGCAACATCAACTATGTGAAGTGTTGTCCGACTCCACAATGCTGGATGGGGTGGGACTGGTTCTTCAAAATGTAATTTTTTTATCCACAAACCACCACTTCATATACAGTACCTTAAAACCAAGACCACCAGCAGCTTGGCATGTCACCTGCTTCATAGATGGGCAAATAGCATTATTGTGACCAGACTACCTGAGTTAATGAAAGTAGATTGAACTGACTAGTGGTCACCCGATGTCACCAAGGTAATGCCGATTATCTGCATCAGATTTTGCTTGGTCAATAAGCATTAGATGTGGGACTTTCATATTGACAGCACCAGGACTTTTATTTCAACAGCATAAACACAAAGGAAGCATTGCAGCATATGTTATTTACTATCTATAAAACAAACATCCGAAATCATATATATCGGCTTTATATCGGTTATGCTGCTCTTGCAGCATTGGACATCAAAAACTTCATATCGGCATAGCTTTAATCTGGGCATTCAAAAGTAAAGCTTGCATCTTTCCAACTGTAATTGTGTTTATGTATGATGATTATATTGACTGGTTACTGAAAACAACATTGAGTGGAGTTCTCTCGCTGCAGTTACTTAACTAAGAAGCACAGAATGAGTAAATAACAGTTTACACAGGATTGCAACAGAATAGAACAGAATCCATGCATTTCAACATGTTTTTTAACTTTATGCCATCTGAATGCTTAATGCAATGCACCAATAGACCGTCATCATCCTACAGAACGCAATGCCAACAACCAACATGTGAGCAGGGGTATATGATACACTACCAGCTGCATGTCTGCAGTCTAAATGACCACTACTGCAACAAGAGCAATAACCTACAGCTCCGGTATAAGTCCGTATATTAGGTGAGATTCACTTTAATCAAGAAGAGAAATGGCCAATAAAACTACACATTCACAGATTTGTTCAAAGCAGGTGTGTGTGCACACCAGTCAGTTGAACTTGTAGCAGGTCACAGGAATAAACAAGACCCACTATCAATCACCAGTGACTGTAGCAGGGTGACATAACATGCTGCACTCGTGGGCCAAATGACATCACTGGCCATAAGATCATCACTAGGCTACATCACCTCCACTAATGGGGTCAGATGAGTGTCAGTTACTGTTCTGACATCACCTTTGACTCAACTTTTTTTGGGTCATACCACAGTTCACACTGTAAAGAGCGGTAACATGTAGCTTTAAAATATAACCCTTCTAGATCTAACCCTTAAAACTATTTTAGTTGGTGCAACAAAAATATCTCATACGGCTGAATCAGCCTAAATATATTTTGACTTGAATAAAACCAGTTAATTTACACTACCATTCAAAAGTGTGAGGTCAGTACAATTTTATTTTTGAAAGAAGTTGATACTTTTATTCAGCATGGATGCATTAAATTGATCCAAAGTGAAACAAAAGGCATTTATAAATGTTACAAAAATTTCTGTTTCAAATAGTCAAAAACAGTCCTCCAAAAAATGTTTCCACAAAAATATGAAGCAATAAAACTGTTTTTAACATTCATAACAATAAGAAATGTTTCTTGAGCAGCAAATCATTATATTTTAACGATTTCTGAAGGATCATGTGACACTGAAGACTGGCGCAATGATGCTGAAAAATTCAGCTTTGCATCATAGGAATAAATTACATTTTACAATATAATCACATAGAAAACTGTTCTTTTAAACTGTAATCATATTTCACAATATTACTATTTTTACTGTATTTTTGGTCAATTGAATGCAGCTTTGGTGAGTATAAGAGACTTTAAAAATCTCACCAACCCCAAACATCTCAACAGTAATGTATTTGTTTCATTTGTAGGTTACTTGATTACATTTTTTATGTTAACATTTTTACAGTAGCTTTGGTGAGCATAAGAGACTTTAAAAATCTCACCAACCCCAAACATCTGAACAGTAATGTATTTGTTTCATTTGTAGGTTACTTGATTACATTTTTTATGTTAACATTTTTACAGTCCCTCCCTTAAGCCATAATGAATGATTTAATTGTTCCTTTAAGGCTGTGAAAACAAATATTGTACAGGGTTAGAATTACATCAATAATGAAATGACAATAATAATATTAAAACATTTACAAATGTGTAAAATTCACTTTCACACCACTGTCTTTTGAAAACCATCCAACAGGAATTTTGCATATAATTACATAATATTTATTTCTAAACCTTTAATCTGGTTTTGACTGTTAAATGTTTGCGATATTAAAGATGAAGTCATTTACCTCACTGTGTCCACACGTTTGCGGAGACTGATACAAACATTAACTGTGCTAACTGAACATGTTAGCGCTGCTAGAGATCACCTTCGCACAACACCCTGCTTTTCCGGTTCTGCAGACATGCTGAGACTCCTGTCAAGTTCCACCATTTTAAACACACACCAGCGGCACACCTCCTTACAGAGAAAGGGAGACGATATGCTCATAGAATGCAACAATGTGACTATCCTGACAGGGTGCAAAAGACACCAATGTGCACCAGCCACGTCGTTTTTGGTGTCACAGATCAATGTTAGTCATGTAATAGAGGTTTCAGGACCAGACAGGTGTCAGGACGGGTCTCCACCCATGTGTTTAGAGAAGCCAGGAAAACTTGATCTATTGCAGTGAGTCACAGACTAAACCTAGCCAGTTGTCAAAGCACATCAGTGCCATGACCAGAGAAATACAGGCAACTATACTGAAACTGTAATGAGCCTAAACATTCACGTAGACCGTGTTTGAAAGCCTGCACATGACACATCACATATGACGTGAGATCTTCAAAATGAACTCAAAGGCATCAAGAAAAAGGCTACAAGAAACATTAGCTTTAGTTTTGGTGATCTGAGCCTCAGGCTCTAAATGCACACCAGGATGATGGACAACCAGCCCCAAAGTCTTTTATCTCCAACAAATCTGGAATAACTGACACAAAATAACCAAAACAAAGTCTAGAACCTGCTGAACTCAGTTACTCCTGCAGGTAGATGTAGGATATGTTTGAGGCCCCAGGGACCCTGAAATGGCAGCGGCTCCCACCTGCCTATAGAGACACTTCTAAGCTGAATTAACCCTATTTCCCACTTCGTCTCTTAATCACTTAAGCGCATAAGTGTCCTGAAAGTGTGCGAAGAGTCAGAGCCAAGAAACAGAGCAAGTGCATTTTCCACTGGGACAAAATATGTTGTATTATGAGCTATAGCAAAGGTATATCAGCTGTTTGGAGAATGACAAAAAAAAATGTAAGTCTCAATCTTGGACTCTTACTGTATACCAAATGAATGGAGATTTTCTACTGAAAGGTCTCTACAGCCAAGCGCTACACTCTTAAAAATAAAGGTGCTTCACGATGCCATAGAAGAACCTTTTTGTCTAAATGGTTCCATAAATAACCTTTAACATCTGAAGAACCTTTCTGTTTGACAAAAGGTTCTTTGTGGCAAAAGAAGGTTCTTCAGATTACAAAAAGGTAAGAAAGAGATGGTTCTTTAAAGAACCTTTGACTGAATGGTTCTTTGTGGAACCAAAAATGGTTCTTCTATGGCATCGCTTGAAGAACCTTTTGAAGCACCTTTATTTTTAAGAGTGTAGGCATAATC